CTCACTTGTTATAAAATATCTATACTTCCTTACCAAATGTGTACTCATTGATTTATAACAGTGATTTCAATACTACCTATACACCAGTTGAGCTGAGACAATGGTTATATTTGCTGAAAGCCCATTATTAGACATAAACTATGGCAAAGGGCTGCGCGTTCAAGGCCAGAAGGATGATCGGCGTAGAGATGGATTCTCACTATAAGCAGATACATTTGATTTTAAATATTTTTCTAGAGACCACACGGTATTTCTTAGTGTGGCCTAAGGAATGCCTACATTAAAATCACCTGCACTGCGATTCTACATGCAGGCACCCATCACAAGCCAAACGTTTCCTGAATCTGTACAAAAATCATATGGGGTGCTTCTTTTAAAACATCAGCACTCATACTTAACAAATCTGAAACTGGGGTCATGGGGGCCACAGTCTGAGAAACATAGTTGTAAGTCAAAGAACTTCGAAATACAATTTAGCTTGGTAATGGCAAAAGGTCACATATATATATATTCTTTTTTTTTTTTAGATTTATTTATTTGTACATACAAAAACTGGAGTACAGGCCAGAGGCTCAGGGGTGGCGAGAGGCTTCACCCGAGACAAAGTAGAGAGCAGAACAGGCAGATTGACGAAATACACTGCTGAGGGGAGCAGCGGGCAGGTCAGGAGAGGTCTGCCACACCATGTGGTCACCTCCAGGGCAGGTGGGAATCGAACTCATGCGGAAGTGGCTTTAGCTTCTCAGTGCTGTGCTTTAACCTGCCACGCCACCAGGGAGGGCCGCCACCCATATATTTTTTAACAACTATGCAAGCTTTGTATAAATCATTTTCAGTGTACAAGAGACAAAACTACATCAAGGAACCAGTAAATAAATTGATCTGATTACCCTCTAAGCATTCTGCTTTGTAAGGGAAGATTTTCATTGGAATAGGGAAAATATGTTATAAACAAGTAAGAACCAACTTCTAAGACAGCAGCATGGCTAGGAAGAGGAAGGAAATGGAGCCAAGTGTGATCTCTGAATCAGAGTGAGAAAGGAAGAAGCTATACAGAGAAACTGGTTAGTGGGTCTATCAAACACTTCTTGTACACACAAGATATAAATGGGGCATGTAAGTTATTTGCAATATGCTAAATGACTAACAACAATGAAAAGTGGTAATTACAAATCAAGGTGTTTAGTACTATGAAATGTGTATTTATGAAATATTGCCCAGATAACACAGTTTACTACCCCTCATGCTGCCTCTAAGGGCACCCTCCTAGGACCACCCTCCAAAATGATAATTGTTCTTTCTCTGATCATATTTCATAGGCTATAGCAACACACCCCAACATCCCCCATTTTAGAAGTAACAGAGCTACACCACTACTGTAGTCAGGCGCTAAAATATTCACTGACTGGACTCTGTGCCATTACTCCCTCAGTATGGCCTCACTGAGCATGGCACAAAAACAGGGCAAGATTCTGCCAATTCACAAGAAACGAAACAAACAGTAACAAAAAAAAGAAAGAATCCATCTTCCTGTCGAGGACATTACAAAGATTACAAAGGCTAACATAAAGCACTATATAGGCTATTATAAATCCAGGGAACATGGATTAGCAAATTTGCTTCCTTGGATTCAGTTTAGGCCACAATAAATGAAAAATCAAATTTAGACAATTTTCTTCCTTTTCTGAAAATATTAGATTTAGTGAATCTTGCACTTAAGCTCTCCTACAGGAAACTACAGGATGATGATTGTAAATGGAAAACTTGATTTTGGACAAAATTTTTAAGGTAGCAATAGAATACTAATTGCACGTGAAGTATCTACAGGACCACCTACCTTTATCTCTTACATATAATCTCTGAACAACCTTAAAACTATTTGGCTCAGGGCAAAACTAAAATCTCAGATCTAAAACTATTTTGTATGATAAAGAATCTGAAAGGAAAGTATAGATTTAAACTTTAAATGTAAGGTGACTGTAGATAAAGATGAGGCCATGAGATGACTCTACTCCAGTATGACCGGTATCCTTTTGAGAAAGAAGACTCACACACATAGAATGTGACAAAGGCAGAGATGGGGTATGTCTTAAGCCAAGAAACATCCAGGAGTGACACCAACACCAGAAGCTAAGAACAAAGAATAGGATGCATTTGCCTGGAGTTTTCACAAAGAGCATAGCCCAGTGGACACCTGGACCTCTGATCATCAGAATGGTCAGACAGTAAATTCCTGTTCATTAAAACCCTCCAGTGTATGACAGTTTGTTTGGGCAGATCTAGGAAACGAAGGTATGTGTTCAGAGTCAGGGCCCAGAGCACGTTTCCCGGGCGAGAGCAGAGGTACAGTTCTGGGCCCCCAAATAGCATCTCTCTTGTTGTAGGTTTGGGTACGTGATCCCAGACTGGTGGCTCAGTGGTGGCTTTCTAACCCCAGAAGAGACAATAACTCCCTTGGTGGCCTGGTGTTCAGAAATTTGTCGAAAGGCTCAAATTCACTCAGAACCATTAAATATTATTAAATACAATGTGACAAATTCCTTACTTCTTAAATGAAGAGAATGACTAGAGGACTAATGAAAGAACTGCCTAATTAAAAAAAAAAAAAAAGAAGAATCCAAGTCATAAAGTAAAATTGGAAACAATAGTCTATTCCACAATGAAAGTATTTATAAAATGTGAAAACCTTATTAAAACTTTTTAGATGTAGGACCTCCCTAGTGGTGCAATGAGTTAGGACGTAGCACTACAAGCTAGCTGCAGCCTCTGTAGTACAAGTCAAATCCCTGGTCAGAGGTGATCCACATGGTGCAGCAGAACTTTCCTGTCTCGCCCGCTGCTCCCCTCAGCAGTGTACTTCTTTGATCTGCCTATTCTGCTCCCCATTCTGTCTCTGGTGAGTCCTCTCACCGCCCCTGCACCTCTGGTCTGTACCCCAATTCTGTATGCATAAGTAAATAAATCTTTAAAAAAAAAAACTTTTCTAGATGCATAATGGAAAATGCTAAGAAAATTCTAGTTTATACTGGCCACCAGTTTTCACTGAATCTTACCTACCACCATATTATTATTCTAAATGTATTTTAACACCCATGACTGTGAAGAAAACAGAAGAAGTGAAATAGGTTGCTGTATGAAAATGATACATCTATATCTGTCAATAAGCATTCTTCTTGTATAGTATCTTTGAATTTAGCTGCAGTGAGTAAATAAGAAACCAAGCCTAGAAACAAACTATGTGGAATAAAGACAGGCTATTTGCCTAAAATAAGTTACCTATTATCTAGTCTGGGTGTCCCTCTGTCAGTAGTATGCAAACACATCACAGTATTTTACTACAAGGTTTCTCAATTAGACAAAAGAGGCAACCAGGATTTGTAACTGCTTACATTTTGGAAGTATAACAAGTTTTCATAATTATATCTATCCCATTATCCTGATGATAACATAATAGAGGATATGTGGCTTTGTTAACAGTACAAGTGCAACAAAAACTTCAGTAATTACAGAATGTGACAATATTTTAACAATCAAAAAAACAAAGAGCTGACAGAAAACAAAAATATTATTTTTAGTTTTCTCATTTTTAATCAATATTTAAGGATCTTTTTACGAATCCTATTTCTTGTTGTCTAAAATATAACATTCCAAGTCTCTTGAGTTTTTTTTTTTACCTAAAGAACTAAAGATTACTTCCCCAGGCCCCCAGGCCCCAACCCCCACCAAAAAAGACAACAAAAATACTAATTCAAAAGTGGGAACCATGAAATTATGAATACAGAAATTGGGCAAGTGCAAGAGCTTAATTCAATTAGAGACAAAGCAGAGTGAGCATTGGCCTATTAGGGGAAGAAACTGAGGAAAGAGCTGTGCCTCCCACACCTCAAAGTCCTATGAATCAAGAAACAGATGACATGAAACTAACAGTTAATGAGCCTGCTGGTAGACTTTTACAAAGATGTTTTTATTGACTCCTCAAAGCATTTGACTCCTCACCTAACTTGAGGAAGAAATCAATTGATGTAAGCAGGTCATAAAGTCAGGGGCCAACCTGGGGCTTTGTGCTATCTTTTCACAACATGTAAACATAGAAAATGATATTTGTACCTCAGGGTCAGATAATGAGATGAGGAGTGTTGTTGCTAGTAGCAGCTAGCCTGAATGTTCTGAATACTGCAGGAATCCCACTTGACTACCCCAAGGTATCACTATTCCAACACACCCAGAACCCACTCCCTGCCAAGAAATTCTATCCTGTCATTTCAAAACTGTTTCCCTTCCTTTCCATTGCTTCTCTGTAGCTGCACCCAGAGATCAACCTACAGTTCATACTTTTCTGAAAGCAAAGGAAGAAGGTATGCCTTACACGCCCCCCAGGTCACAAAAACTCTGACTATTGTCCTGACCTGCAAATATAGATCACTTCCAGAATTTTCTTTTTACTGGAAAAAAAAATTTTTTATTGGGAAAAAAAGTCTTTCATAATAGACTAAGTCAATTTTTCTGGAAAAAAAACAAAAAAAACACTCTCTCTCTTGCTCATGCCAGAAGTTCCCTCTAAAGGTGACAAAGCCAGTCCAGTAAGTTTAAAATGAAAGCTACTAGTTAAAACACAGTCCTGGCCCTCCCTGGTGGAGCAGTGGGTTAAAGCACAGCACTAAGAAGCTTAAGCCACTCCGCATGAGTACATGAGTTCCATCCCGGAGTTCCCTGGAGGAGACCACATGGCACGGCAGACCTCTCCTGGCCGGCCCACTGCTCCCCTCAGCAGTGTACTTCGTCGATCTGCGTGTTCTGCTCCCCACTCTGTCCCTGGTGAATCCTCTCACCCTCCGCATCTCTGGCCTGTACCCCAGTTCTGTATGAATAAATAAATAAATCTTTAAAAAAAAACACATTCCTATCAAAGTACATCAATCACTGAAGCAAAGATAAGTGAATGACATCAGATTACATCTTGCTTTAGTAAGGAGGAGGAAGGTGGAGAGAGGCACACATACATCCTCTGTCACAGGACTGGAGCAGGATCCCCGGAGGCAAACAGAGAAGAAACCCTGAAAAAAAAAATGGATAAGCCTAAAGCAGTTCATCTGTTCAAGAAGTCTATGAAATGAAACAAAATTTGGGAATGTAAAACTGGGATGTATTAGAAGGATACCAGAAAAGATCAAGAGATTGTCACCCGTCCAAGGACCAAAAATAGTTTTATATACATATACATACATATATATACACACAAACACACACATAAATGAACCACAACACTGCTGTGGAAAATCCAAATCAGTGGCCTAAAATTACATTTAAACCTTCAATATTATCTCCTACATCAAGGGTGAGCCTATACCTCATCTGTATAATAAAGTTTTTATGGAGCACAACCATGCCCCTTGTTCAGTTATTGACCAGGACTGTAAGGGCAGTAGCAGACAGAGAAGTACTATGTGGCCTCTGAAAGATAAAGTCTACCAGCCTGTTTTTATTCAAACGCAACCTGGAATGAAAAAGCTGCAATTAAATACATCCTTTACGGACTATGAACAAAAAAAAACTAATGGCAAGATTTGCAGAAAGGGTTATTATATTATGTAACAGAAACATTTCTAAAATCTTATAGACCAATTAAATAAGTTCTACTTATGCAGTTATTAACATTTTGGATAGCTGGTCCATCCAAAATAGCTATTTGTATTAGCTCATCATATAAATAGTTAGACAGAGCTATAATTTTGACAAAGGTTGAGTGGGGAGCTCAAAAAATTAAGAAATGTTTCCAGGCCATCTGTCCTCATTCTCAGTGTTCACTTAGAAAAAAAAAAAATGAAATACATTCTCAAAGTATTTTCTTTAAAGTGAGATATTATCTTGTGAAAATAATACAAGAGGATTAATCACCAAACGAGGAATCAGCAGTTTAGACGTTCTTTTGTGAATAGTTCTACATTAGTTTTATAATTTTTAAAATATCAACTGCCATTATATCCCACAAATAATTTAATTACAATTGTATAATCAAATGTTATACATCCATATTCCCTAAAAAATGAGGGGAGGCAGAATTAGCATTCAAGTCTGAAAAACATGCTATCTTGCTCTGTATCTGTAGAAATGTTATTATAAAGTAATTGCTAATAAAGCAATTCAGAGAAAAAAGTACTCATACATGTCATCCCCAAAACACCCCTGGAATTTTTATTATTTATTCTGTAACATTATACTGTTTGTTTCCGTGTAATATAGGAAAGTATCCACACACAAACTCTCATGCAAATGTAAATAGATGAAGGGACTGAATGAAACCCCGAATGCAGCAGAGCAGCTTTGCACAATTGCAGCTACAATGCACTTTTTTTTTTTTTTTGGATGGGAGATATTGCACTAGATGCTTTTATTTTGATTAATTTTTTAAAATATAATAGTTTAATTTTACATCATTTCGTACATTTTTTTTATCTCAATTGTAATCCCTGTGGGTTTAATTTTTTTTTACTGCACATTTTTAAAATACCAAAGCCTATTTAAACAAGAAAAGAAAAATCAAAGGAAATAAAATGGGAAGGAATTTTAGAAGTTATCTAATTAAGCAATTTCTTTTCCAAAATTACATTAAATAATCACTATTCTCCTCCCCAAGTATTGTGAATGGTGGATAAGGAATACTATAGAAAATATGTTAAAAGCCATCATATAGTTCCTAGGAAAATAGTGATTGGTTCTAAACAGTATTGTCACTAATGATATCTGGGGCCGTATATTTAATTTCGTTAAATGTACAATTTTTGAGAAGAAGAATACTTAAAAGTTTCCAATAAAGAGCGGAAATAGTCCAGCAACCACCAGGAAGCAGAAGGGGAGGAGAGTAGGAGGCTAAATCTTTATTTAAACAAACCATAACTGCAATTTGGGCATTTAGAAGTATAATACTGGCTTTTATTATATGGGAAAGTTAATTACACCGTCTTCAAGTCTCCCCTCCTCCACAGCATGCTGCCATCATACCAGACATGCTTTCCTCATTCTTGGAGTTTAAGCGGTGTTTTACTGGGCTGGAAAAGAGTACTCGATACTGCCCAGGCAAGAAAATGTGTTAAGTAGAGAAAGAAACTGAAGTTGCTACAGGGAGAATCTAAATAAACAAAACAGAATAGTAATTCGGAATATAAAATAACTGCATTCACGTGTGTTCCACGTATTTGTGAAAATACTAAATTTAGATTCTGACATTTTTTAGTTTTCATTTTCTGATCATTTCATTTTCTGATGAACCCTATCAAGTCACAGACTATATAATTTGCTGACCAGCTTTGCTCCTTATCAATTAGAAAACTTCTGCCAAAGTGGGAAGTCCAAGGTGCAGCTGAATTATGAAACGAGAGCAATACGAGGGCTCAGAGGACACCAAAGCCTCTTCACCCAGATTTTTGCTCATTTGTTTCACAAGACCAAGCCTCTACCCGGTGTCCCACCACTCAGGCACGTCTCCGGAGGAACTGGGCCCCCTCCTCCCAGCTCCGAGCCCGGGTAGGAAGTACCCGCCCACCGCAAGGGAACTGCGGAGTCCCCGCCGCGCATTGGCTAAGGAGGCCGTCAGTTGGGGGGGGGCGGGGCGGGGTCCAATCCAGCTCCCAAACCTGGGAGGGTCCCCCGACTTCCCCAGCCTGCCCTCATATTTCGCCTGCCTTCCTCCCACCACCACCCTTACAGTTTCTGCCCCCTTTGACTCCTCCGAGAGACAAGTCTTTCCAACCTCCGCACCTCTCTCCCACCCCAGCAAGCTCCCAGTTCTGGACCAAATAGAGGATGCTGTGGTTCAGGAGCGAAGCAAGCTGCGGACTGGCTTTCCGCAAGGGTTACAGAAGTAGCTGATTAAGTTTTCTATTAACCGTTTCAAGTGCATTAGTTTTAACCAAGTATTAAAGCCAGTAATACTAGATGTCCATTCAGCACGAGTTACCACAAACCTTTATGGGATCGATGCTAGCTCTTTAAACTAACACTTCAGTGTTTATCTGATAGTCCCAAAAATACCATAAGCGTCTTGGGTGAAAATACTACGCCATTTGTGGACCACACCCGCAGCAGCTCAAGGTTCTATACAGAATAGGTTCATCACCACACACATTCTGTACTTTATTTTGTAATGCAACTGACAAGACACACTGCGAACTGCCCGCTGGGAGTGTACATGCCTCTTGAAACTTCAAATTCCTTGGAGGAGGAATTAGAAACAGTGGTTCTAATTATGACAGCTAATTAAGACCCACGAATATGGGCATTTGATGTTTTCAACTGCATCCTCACAATTAGTGGTATCAAAAAAGGAGGAAAATAATTTCATTTGTGTTAAGATTCCTACTTTAGTTTTGTCACCGGAACTGATCAATGATGACAATATATCTCACTGTAAAATAAGTATTTTTGTAGTATTTATGCTGAACAAGGACTACAGCTCGAGAGGAATATGATTCATCGGTCTGATACATCATTTCCCAAGGCCTACAGAATATAAAGCAGGCAACAGGCGTTCTGTATTATCTCATTGCAGCATCCTCTAGGACTGCGCTGTTTCATCCCAGAGACCTGTGGCAAAGTGATCTCCACATTTTTTTCCCGTCTCCCAGGCTTTGGCCTCACTTTTTCAATTTATTCCTTCTTTTCCACTGCCACCATCACTAGTAATTCGTTATTGCCTTGCAATCCCTCTCGCTGGCATTTCCTAAAACTAATGTTGACCAATATCCAAAACAGTCTCCCTCAAGCACATTCTTCCAGAGGTGGGTCACCGTCCCCAGATTTTTCAAGTCTTCAGATTCTTCCCTGCTCACTGGGCTCCCACCACCCGTTCTCTTTAGGGGAACTCAACTCTTCTCACAGACAGGCAGACGGCGAATCCTGACAGCTGGACCCAACCAATCCACGAGGGATAAATAACCGACACCGCCAATGAGCATTCGCCGAGAGGCGGGAGGCGGGACTTCGCCTAAGTTCCTGCGGTCCTGAAACCGAAGACCTGTTGCCGCGGCCGCCGTGGCCGCGGAGTTTCTTAGTTACCGAGGCGCCCACGGCGGCCTCAGGCCGCCAGAGCCCGGACCCGGCACGAAGTTCTTCCCGCCACCGCCAAACACCATCGCAGAGCTCCCCGACCCCGATCGACTGTGGCGCGCCCGCCCCGCCTACCCCGGGCGGGGGGATCCCGGAGGCCGCTCCGCGCGGTCCCGACCTCCCGTTCCCTGTAGGCCCTTCCACTCGCCCCCCCACCCCAGGGCCCGAAACCCCGAAATTCACTCACTCGGAAGTTGGGAGGTTTCCGTTCTCCGGCCCGCGAGGGAATCGGGGAGGGCGGGCGGCCCGACCAGGTGGCGTCACGGAAAGGCCCGCTGGGCCGGGAACTGTGGCTGCGAGACCCGGAGCCGATCGCCACCTCCCGCCGCGCCGCCCCCGCGGACGCTGCAGGCGCGGGCACCCACCCTGCGCTCGGCGAGGCGCGTCCCGAGAGCGAGCCTAGTGGCGGCCCATCCTCCCGCAGCTCCCGCTCCTCCTCCGCGGCCGCCGCTGTCAGGAGTGTAAACATCCCGGCATCCCCGAGGAGAGGGGCGGGGCGGGCGCCGGCCCCTCCCCGAGCCCCGGTTCCCCGACCCGCCGAGTCCCGCCGGCAGCGCGCTTTGCCGTCCTTCGGACCTCCGTGCGGGCTGGGGCGCGGAGCCTCCCCGCCTCTGTCCCCTTAGCCGTAGCGCTCTCGAGGAGTCCCTCCCGGCTTCGCGTCCCGTGGCCAGCCCGGGTGCGGTCCGGGGCGCGTGGCGCTGCCCCTTTATCCTTGCTCCCCTCCTTCTGGCCAACTTCTCTCCCGGTTGGGGGTCGGCCGCCTTTGGGGAACTTGTATTTTCTATACCTACGTTTAAAAGCCCTCCACACTGCCAGCCCCCCGTCCCGCCTCACGCGCGTCTGCCAGCTGTAAGGCCAATTGGTGGCGTCCCCTTTCTTCTGAATCCCAGCATTTTGATTCCATCTTTTAAACTTCCTCTACACTGAGAGCTTGCATTAAATAAGTGTCCCAGCGCAGAATGCAAAGACTTTTAGGACATTTCCGAAAGGTGAACTACCTGGTTTAGCACCAAGGGTCTTTGAGGGAAGATAATTTTTATCTGTATGGAGATATATTTGGAAAGAGGGGAGGGAGAGTCGGAGGGCGAGAGATTCCAAGTCCCTGGCACACGGAATGCGAAAGGAATGCTCTGTCCCTAGCTCTCACCACTTCAAGGGCCGGACCCGCATTACTGGAGGCGACTGCTAGGAGGCAGTAGGCAGTCAGCCACACCTTGATTCAAATCTCAGCCCAGTGATTATTCACCGTGTGACCTAGCTGCAAGTTATTTCACCTCCTAAGTATCCTTATCTTTGTCTGCACAAGGAGAAGAGTGATTATACCTATCTCTAGGACTGCAGTTTGAATTCACTGAGGTAAAGCAAAGGGTTTAAGTACACGAGCCTGGCATATAAGAAGTGCTCATTACATCACTGCTATTAACTCCTAGTTCTTCAGTTTGACTTCCCAGCCAAAGGGATTGGAACCAGGAATGAGCAGATTATACTTCAGATAAAATGCTAAGGCTAGGGAGTTGAGATTTGGAAGTTTTTTAGAAATAAAGTGGTTCAAGATATCAAGAACTGTTGAATGCGGCGGTTTTGTGTTAGTAGTTGTGCTGGGAAGCACTGTAAGGAACAAGGATACACTTCGCCAAGATACCAAGTCTATACTCTCATGGAGCTTACATTAGAAAAGACAAAAGTAATTATTAGTGTAAGTAAAAAATATATATTTTTACAATAAACAATTAACAGTAAAATAGCTTTTAAGGTTTTTTTTTTTATAATAATTATTAATGGTAGGAAAAGCAATGGCAATAACCCAGTAAGGTACCTGCCATGTCAGTTGATGATTCATGGAAAAAGAAAGCAGGGTATGGAGACAGAAGGAGGATAGTATTTCAAATATGTCTATATGGAAAGACCTCTGGGCATTGACCTGAAGAAAGAAAATGATACTGTGTCTATCCAAGACTAAAAAGTTTTGCATTAAAAGAACAACAAATGCAAAGACTGGAGAAGGCATGTTTGAGGAAAAGCTAAGAGGTGAGTGTATCTAAAACCCAGTGAACTAAAGAAAAGCAATAGCAGATGAAATAGGTAGAGGGATAGGTCTGGGAAGGGGACAAATGTAGAATATTATAAATTGCAGAATATATTCTTAATGAAATGAAGAGTTACAGGAAGAGTGACCAAACTGGGATGGGTGGGGGGGATAGCTGTAGTATGGAAAACAGACTGCAGAACAGAAGCAACTGTTTTAATGTTTAGATCAGATTTGATGATGGGTCATTGTGCTAACAGGGGAGATGATAACAATCATAAGAGGTAAGATATATTTCTGAAATAAAACCAACAAGATTTGTGAATGGATTGGATGTGGTCATGGAAGAAGTGAATGGAGACTTCATTTAAACCAGATCAGAAGTAAGGTCACACCCAGTCAAAATCTGTCACAAAGGAACAGTTGACACTTGAGTCATACACAGTCATACCTTGCAGAAGAAATAATCAGATATTCTCAGGGTGAAAACTTTTCAATCTGTTATTTGAGGAATAGCAAAGGACTCTTGTTTGATTTCACTTTTGTACTAACTTTTGAAAATGTAGATAAATAATCAACAAAATAGCTCAGTTTAACAGCCTTTGGGTTCATCTACACAACAGATTCCATTGCTATAGGAAAAAGTATACACCATATCATATACATGCTGACTGATATGCAACGAATCAAAATCAACTCCTGAAGCCCTAGTGGCTACAAAGAATTTTTTTCTAGTTTTTCTAGCCAGTGTTTATTTGTGCCCAAAGTGTTAAAATTATCTATTTATGTACTATGCCTTCATCTTAAAAAAATGACAAAGCTACAGCTAAATAGTGGTACTGAGTTTGGAAAGCTGTGAAGACTGTCAGAATTTAATCTATGGATCTTTCTCTTTGACTCTTATTTCCATGTGGTAGAAAGGGTGGCTTATCCTCATGGGCTACTAGACTGGGAGAAATGCTACTGGAAAAGCAGAGAGATTAAGCCAGAAGTCTTCTCTGGCTTGAGGGTCATTTGAATTTGAGTAGAATCTAGCTGTCACTAATTTTCTACTTTTTCCTCCACCAAGCTTGCTCCAAAAATGTTTGACTCCATGAATTGTCCCAATTATAGTCCTTTATACCAGCTACTTAGTGCTTATACCTAATTACTAGGCAATGCATACCATTTACTCTCTGGTTAACTTTACTATAAAAGTTATTTGATTATTATACCTAGAACCCTTCATTTTGTACCAAATCCTCCTGTTTTATTATTCACAAAACTTTGCTTACCTTACACAATCAAAAAAATTAAAGGTAGTATTGATTATCAAAACAATTTTTTATTTGTTGGCCAACTCAAAGCATATGTTCCATGCCAGGTTCTGAATAAATGCAACTTTTCTGTAAGTAGAGAAACTTGCTGGAAAAATATTTACCTACTGAAGGCTGATGAAGCAATATTTTTTTTAAAACTCTCCTTTGAAAGAGATCTTAGCCAGTAGGGAAGATCAGAAAGGTCTAGTCTTCTTAACTCAAGCATAGTGCTGGCAACAGGTGTACTTAAACAGCTACTAGTGATGTTGGCAGCCACCGAATTTGGCAGCTAAATGGTGATGAGGCTTAGTCAAGCTGTTGAAATGTCTGGACTAAACTGGGCCAAGAGGAGGAAGTCAAAGTGCAGACTGCAGACAACCCAAGGGAGATCACTTTTCTCTGGCCCTGGCTGTGGCCACTGTACAGTGTCAGAAAATAAATCTTTATCTTTAAAAACAGTCATGGAAAATATTAGAAAGCTACTTTTTCATTGTAATAGCCACTTGCATTTAATTGTTAACAAATTATGTGCATGACCTGCCCATCAAAACAATATAATTAGCTTTAACTATCCTCACATCAAATCCCTAGAATTCAAAATCATGGACAACTCTGCTATGTCTCAATTATCTAGTTATGGTATTTTGAGAACACAGTTCATGGCTAAAAATAGTGGCATTACTGACAGTGGCTTTTTCCTGGCTATTTTTGTAGTGGTTATAAAACTGAGGAGACAGTTCGATACTGTATTCTGTGTATATATACATATGTGTGTATATGTCTCTATATATACACATACATATATATACATATAAATGTATATATGTTAACATAAGGAAATGTAATATTTTCTGTAAGTCATAAAACAGGACGGGAACAGTACAACTAGTGGTTTCCTTTGGTTAACAGAATCCAACTGATTTTTTGCTTTTTGCCTTTTACTAGCAATGGACATGTCAAAGAGTAAAGGAAGTATATTAAGAAATTATTCTCCCTTTCACACTAGTATAACCCATGCCTGATGTGGAGCCAAACTGCCAGGCTATTTCCCAGGACACATTTCCTCAAGGACGGTAATAATTTTTCCATGTTCCCCCGTACTACTCAATGGTCTAAGCTAATCGAGAGCTTGGATATAGGGCAATTAAGTCCCAAAGATGCATTTTAAATGCAGGTTTTTCTGGGATATTTTGTGGGCATATAACGATCCAGAAAGGGAATTGTTACAAACACCCTGTGATTTCACAATATTAAGTGGGAAGATCTCAGGGAACCTGGCCTAACTTCCCTGTTCTGTCTCCCTCTACTTCTGACTTACCTAGCCCTCTTCAATTCCCTTTTTCAATTCAATCATTTCAATTCAATCTTAGAATGCACTATCTCCACTCAGGACTGACTGATCAAAGCAGTGGTCTATTTCCTAAACAGTGAAGAAAATGCAAAGCAAGTATTTCTATTTACTTTTAGTATTCCCACACAGTTAAATTGAGAAACTACTCTTAGGCTACAGATCCCAAAGTGCATGTACTAGTAGAGTCAGCACAAAAGGTGCAAATTTGTACTCAGTATTGTTTTCCTCTATCTAACCCTCCTCACTCAGACGTAAGCCTTTATTGCGTAAAACCCAGGTCCCTTTGATTCTTTTTATTTTTTCAGCTTTTCTACTTAATGGCAGACGTACACTTTAAAACACCTCAGTAATTATATGTTCAGTAATTCATTCCAGTGTTAATGTTCAATCAATTTGGAAATACAGGATGTGCGTAAAACCAGATTTGGAATCATGCCACATCAAACTCAAAGATATAATGAAGGCAGGCTCTTATTGTTTTAAAGACAATAAGCCTAGTTAATCTTAAACAGCTTCAACAGTCTCTGTAAATCTGCCACTGAACTCACTAGTGGGTAGAATTCAAATGATGGACCTTTGCCTCTATAGTCATTCCTATCACATATTAGCTTTTCCATGCAGAAGTTAACATAATATAGAATAAGGGAGTCAATTCTCCAGTTTTGAAAATGACCCTTTAATTTGGAAAATGTTTCATCAAATGAAAGGGTCATTTTCAAAGCTTGAGAATTGGGGGGCAAAACTCTGAGATGTGCTTAAAAA